AAGAAACCATTGCCTAAGTGTTGTTTCTTTGTAAATCATTATATAACAGCATAGACACAAAGATCACTGCACATCAATGTAAAACATTAATTCAGTAACACTGCACTCACATATGTGGCCATTCACACAATCTATGCATTTAAAAACCCAGACTCACTGTCTCTCTGCTGAGATCGCTCTTTATTTCCTCACATGTAAGAGAGAAAAAGCAAGTCTTTTACCACATAAAATTGACGCGCTACTTCTAAATGATGTTGTTTGTTGTATTTTCTTGTCAAAATTAGTTCATTTGGAATTATTCAGCCTTTAAGAACAAGCAAAAGGTTTAAATTACGCACGTGGTGTGAATAAAAAACAAAAAAAAGAGTCATACCTGCATACAAGTGGCTACACAATGTAGACAACATTGTGAATTGTTAACTGCATACACTTCTGACTAATGGTTACAGAACTTTTATAACTATTATTAACACACAACTAGTTTTTTTAACTGGCAAAATAACCCAGCACACAACAATTTATGAAACTTAAACTATTTGTAATTTGAGCTGCTAGCTAATAACCAGGCAGCCTAACATTAACCCTCTGAGATCTGGAGAAGTTTAGACTTGCCCTGACATTGGTGCTTTTCTCAGAAACATCTTAATGGTTAAAGACGTCTTCTCCACTGCACAGAAGACTCCACCTCCTCCCGGCGACCAGGTGATGACGCTGTCCCCGGACAGCGTGAGGAGATCCCTCAGCAGGATCAATGCACGCAAAGCTCCGGGTCCTGACAACATTCCTGGGCGTGTACTGAGAGACTGTGCAGTGGAACTCACTATGCATTGTTAGTGTCATTGGAATAAGGCCATAAAACACATACAGAGCAATTGTTCACAAGACTTTTGAGAACTGGATGTGGTAGACTAGAGTCTTTGCTACAAAATGATGTGAAAATCACCCTGTTCACTCATTCACAGAAAACAATATATTGATTTACCTTTTGTAAGACATGATTGTGTTAGAAAGGCTGTATGTGAAGGAGAGACAATGGCCATGAATATCTCGTGATTCACACCTGAGAGACAAAGGGCCTCCCCTAACGGGCCATCAGTGTGACTGTGAGGCAGGTAAGAAAGAATGTGAAAAGATTAAAATAATGGGGGTTTTGATGATTTGTATTTTTTTATTTTAAGTTATACGTTGGGGGAGGGGTGGTGCACAGCAAAGACTGCCAAATACAGAGAAGTTGCCGCCAATTTGAGTTACCGCAGCTGCCTGGAGTCCTTCCATGAATTCCTGCTAAGAAACACAAAGGATGTGAGGAAGGTGAGTTTTTTTATTTGTAATTATAAATTAGTAATGTTGACCATGCTCTGCGAATGTAATATGACTCGTTGTTTCACTGAGGATCTGTGTCTGTTTTAGGATGTAACTGCAATTAAACAATCTGAAAATATACAGTTGAGGTCAAAAGTTTACATCCCCCTTGCAGAATGTGCAAAATGTTAATTATTGTACCAAAATAAGAGGGATCATACAAAATGCATGTTATTGTTTATTTGGTACTGACCTGAATAAGATATTTCACATAAAATATGTTTACATATTGTCCACAAGAGAAAATAATAGTTGAATTGATAAAAATGACCCCGTTCAAAAGTTTACATTCTAAATACTGTGTGGTTACCTCAATGAGCTGTTTTTTGTGTTTAGTGATAGTTGTTCATGAGTCCCTTGTTTGTCCTGAACAGTTAAACTTTTATGGTTTTATGACGCAAGATTAATGGAAAAACTGTGAACACTTGTAATTCGCTTCAACCTTTTCGAACTTTATGAATGATTATTTTATGTTCAAGTGGTGTGTGTAAGGAGCTGGAAGCACGCAGAGTACGGCTGTTTCTAAAGCACGCAGTGCCATCTGCTGTTAAAAACTAAGCTTAGAATCGATTCGAGAGAGAATCACGATGCATTCGGAAAATCGCAGAATCGATCCACAAATCGATTTATCGTCGCACCCCTAGGTAGAATGCCTGCATGTCACGTCAGTCTGCAACTTTGGACTCTGACTCATTCTGCGTAAGATCGGATGCCCAGAGAAATTCGTCAACATTGTCCGTTCATTTCATGATGGCATGTTTGGTCAGGTGCTAGACGATGGTGAGCTGTCTGACCCATTTGGCACTTCAAACAGCATTGTTATTCAACATCTTTTTTCCATGATTCTATCTGTGGCTTTTAAGGACTGCGACATGTACATTCAAATCCAGTTCCGTACAGTTGGCAGCATTTTCAATTTACGCAGGCTTCAAAAGACACATTCCACAATCCTGCATGACCTTTTGTATGCAGATGACTGTACACTGATGGCACACACGCTCACTAAAGCTCAATCACACTGAAATTATTCAAACATTTTCACACATTTGAAATTATTATTATTATATTCATCATTCATGAAAAGAAGAGTTAACTTTTAGTCCCTTTTTCATTGCATTCGATCAAAAATTTTAATATGTCCCTACAAGTTGAAATGAAAAATGCATAACACACCTCATCTCAACTTTGAAAAGTCAATAACAAACTTGAAGTGGCCTAAATTATTTACTTGAAGTACCCCCTGATATTTTAAGTTAATATTTCAATAATTTAATAGCACATTTGCCTGTTTACTAATATATATATATATATATACACACACACACACACATATGTATACACACACACACACACACAGTATACTGTATAGTATCCATTTTAAAGTTATTATCAGAATTACTTTACATAACTATTGTTATTAGAGATAAAACGGCATGAACATTTTAATATCGTTGTTATAGTGACCAAAGTGATCACAGCTATCAGTATTATCACAATGCTGTTAAAATGTGCTGGAAATATTCAAAAAGTACTGATACACACACTGAAATTATTTCACCAAGTTTTATGTTAAAAATCAACTGATTTTAAACAAATAAAAAAATGTTTGGTGACTTACAACAATAACATGTTTTCTACTAACATGTACTACGTTCAAACAAAGTTTTGACAAAAAAAAAAGTTTAAACGTCAAACCTCACATTTCAGACTTTAAATGATACATTATAGGAATTGTATCTGCTCCATAAACAATTCTATAGGCTACCTTATTATCAGAGCATTAAGATTATTAGAACGCACATTAGTTTGTTTTTTTCATCTACCTGTTAAGATTTACAACAAACATTTTGGTCCAGTTTTTGCATTGGTCAGAACAGAAAGAGCAGACAGGCTGAATGAAATTGTAAATCCTCTTTCTGACAGCAGGTGGCGCTTATGGAACAGCTGAAATAGAGCTGTTTTCTCGGTAATCACTGTAAACAAAGCAACGCTGCACTCATAAGCACTACTGTATTACACCTTTCAACCTTAGATATTTTTTTATTTTGAAATTATTAATTTATTTAAATTATATGATTTAATGATAGTTTAATTAATGAATAGTTTTTCATGAACTCAATAACCCCTGAAATTTCCTTGTGATCCCCTTTTAGGAAACCCTGCTCTTAAGCATCTTAACATAAACCCACAAACAATAAATACATTTTTAAAATGGAATTAAAAAAAACGCATTAATTAAAAAAAAAATTCACATCTTTAAGTGCTTTAAGAGCTTGTTGAGAAAAAATATAATTCTGTAAGTCATTATAATGAGAAACTTTCTCAAAATTATGACTTAGTAATAATAAAAATAATAATAATAATTCATTACATTTATATAGCGCTTTTCTAGGCACTCAAAGCGCTTTACATTGTCAGGGGGTATCTCCTCATCCACCACCAGTGTGCAGCATCCACCTGGATGATGCGATGGCAGCCATAGTGCGCCAGAACGCCCACCACACACTAGCTCGTTATCCCATTATATTGCATAGCATAGCATAGTATCTCGTTATATTGAGAAACTTTCTCGTAATAATGACTTAGTTTCTCGTAATAATGAGAAACTTTCTCGTAATAATGACTTAGTTTCTCGTTATATTGAGAAACTTTCTCGTAATAATGACTTAGTTTCTCGTTATATTGAGAAACTTTCTCGTAATAATGACTTAGTTTCTCGTTATATTGAGAAACTTTCTCGTAATAATGACTTAGTTTCTCGTTATATTGAGAAACTTTCTCAAGTTTCTCAATATAACGAGATACTAAGTCATAATTTTGAGGAAGTTTCTCATTATTACGAGAAACTAAGTCATTATTACAAGAAACTAAGTCATTATTACGAGAAAGTTTCTCAATATAACGAGAAACTAAGTCATTATTACGAGAAACTAAGTCATTATTACGAGAAAGTTTCTCAATATAACGAGATACTAAGTCATAATTTTGAGAAAGTTTCTCATTATTATGACTTACAGAACTATATTTTTTTCTCAACTGTGGCGGCAACGGGCTTCCATACAAAACCCATCTAACAGACAAAAGATAAACGATGACAAACAAATTTAACCTTTGGAAATAAAATGTTAAAGACATGCACAAAATTGATATTTATACGATTAACATTTAACATGCAAATTCATTGTTTGCCACATAATGACAGAAACGGTACAGACAATTAAATTAAATTCAAGTTTATTTGTATAGTGCTTTTTACGATACAAATCGTTGCAAAGCAACTTTAAAGAGACAACTCATGCCTTTACATTTTGTTTATTATAAAAAGAAATGCAACAAATTTAAAGAAATTGAATCCATTACAAAAACTGACAACCAAGGCTTTGATTTATAGTGTTTTAAGACTCTGAATAAGAACAAACCACAAAGGAGTCCTCTGACTTATAATATAATAAGAATGCTTATAATTTAGGTCAGACTCGACTTACTTTACCTAACCTGAGAATAATAAATAACAGGGTTAAAGGTGTTAAGATCAAAGTACAAACCGCAAAAGACAAGATACCAAAGGAATAATTAGATTTCAGTTTCTCTTTAAAGGGTTACAGGCTCTTCTTCAGATTCATGAACAAGAAAAAAAAAAAAAAACTTCTAGAAAATTTAACAGTAAAAAGCATCAACATCTTTGAGCTGAGTTGTTGCTGGTCTTTAAGATGAAGTCTTTCACAGTGAAAACCAAAGATCATGCTTCTTTTTCCTGCTGTTTGTTACGGCTGATTAGGACTGATTTATACAGAAGAGATTTTATTGCTCAATGCATTATTGTGTCACGTTTGGTGTGGATCATCTGAAGATGATCTGCATATTGTGATTGACACGGTTTCTCTCCAGTGTGTATCCTCTCATGTGTTTTCAGTTGTGATGAATGACTGAATCTCTTGTCGCATTGTGAACACTTGTAAGGTTTCTCTCCAGTGTGGATCCTCCGGTGCTGTTTCAGATGTTGAGATCTAATAAAACTCTTCCCACAGTCAAAGCACACATGATCTCTCACACCAGTGTGTATCTTCTGATGCTCTTTTAACCATTTCAGCAGTGAAAAACTCTTTCCACATAATGAACATGAATGTGGTTTCTCATTTGAATGAACTTTCAGGTGATTCTTCAGGGATGAAGCCCACGAAAATGTTTTGCCGCATTGAACACATTTGTGCAGTTTCTCTCCAGTGTGGACATTCATGTGGCCCTTAAGGTGTGATGATTTTTTAAAACTCTTCCCGCACTGATCACAAGTGAATGTTTTTTCTCCAGTGTGAATCTTCATGTGAACCTTGAGACTCTGTCTGCATGCAAAACTCTTTCCGCACTGATCACATTCGTGCAGTTTCTCTCCAGTGTGGATAATCATGTGTCTATTAAGGTGTGCTGATTGTCTGAAACGCTTCCCGCACTGATCACATGTGAACGGTTTCTCTCCAGTGTGTATCATCATGTGTCTCTTAATACTCTTCTCACATATCAAACTCTTTCCACACTGAGTGCAGGTGAATCTTTTCTTCTCTCTTCTCTTCAGAAAAGAGATACTTTCAGTTTGTGAGCGAGATTTCTCCATCAGGTCTCAAATGAAAATGAACAACAAATACATTATAAATATATCTTTAAAAATAAATGAGAGAAATGTGAAGTGAAAGGTCATAAAAGTGAACCTGAAAGTAGAGGCTACACAAAGTTATGATCATTTTGATGCATTTTTAAACGTTTAAACGTTAACGTTTCTGTCGCAAAAACTATTCAATGTTTAATCGATTCCACAATTATCTAACATCAATAGACTATTTATTAATTATTAACTATAATAAACTATATATAGTGCAACAGTTCTGATGCAGTCTCTTAGATGGATATTTATTTGACTAATAACTTATTTTAAAACGAAAATGTATTAGCTGTCCTACATTTTTCACTCAACACTGTTAATACACTCAAAATAGTGTTTCCTGGCAACATCCAGGAAGTGACATCAACTCGACTCTTTTTAGAGCATGATGGGAAAAATGATCTCAATCTATTGTAGTGCTGCATTCATCAACCCAGTTATCAAAGAAAAGCAACTTATGAAATACAAGTTTATCAGAAACTATAAAACAGGTTTAACTTTTTTTAATTTTAGTATGTACATTTTTAATATTGATGCCAATTGATGCCATTGCTCAATAAAGTGGAAATGTGATCTTATGTCATCTGATGAAGGGAATAAACACCAACCTGTTTGTTCTTCAGTGTGTTTCATTCTGCAGGGTTCTGGATCTCTCATGTTCTCTCTGTCCTTCAATAAACTCTGTCTCTGCAGATTTCACTTCTTCCTGATGCTTTGATGCTCGTCTTCACTTGTAGACTGATGGGAATATTCCAGCATTTATTGATGAACTGCAGTGGGAGGAGCTTCACTGAAGGAGGAGCAGATCTGCTAAAATCAAAGATAAATCAGTTACTGAGTTTATGATTTTAAACTAATTCACTACTATTAAACTCTTTATGTTCACCTATCTATCCATCTTGTAAAGTAGATTTTTAGTAAATTAATCACAGTGTTTTATACTAATTCACAAGCTGTATCCCTTTTTATTTTCTAAGAATTTCATCCACGTATTTAAATTCCTACATTTATCTTTCTTTAATATACAGGCAAAGAAATATAGAAACAAATGTGGGGAAAAAACCCACACAATTAAAAAACACCAAATATAAACAAAGTAAGGATAAAAAAATGAAAGAATAAACATAGAAATATAATTTTACAAATTAGATACTTACCTCTATCTTGTAATGTCACAATAGCTGATCGTGTTGTTTGCTGCAGTCTGTTAACACCAATAAAACTAGCTTAATTCTGCAATTAACAGATCTGAAGTCATCAGCATAACGAATGAGGTGAAAACAGGAGCTATTGACATGAAATAAAGAGGATTTTCAGCAGCTGATAATATTGCTGAGCCTCAGACTATAAACACTCATTAAACAAGTCATTCAAGTTTATCAGCAGATCATCTCACTTTATTAAGTGTTAAGTGTTTGTGGGTAGAAACTGATTTTTTTTTTGTGAATATTTTATTTTAAGCTTTTCACATTTTAGAGAACAATCCCCCAACCCCCTATGCCAGCAAATCAAAGGAAAGAGAAGAAAAAAAAAAACCTAATGACCTGGGTGCACCCCCCACGGAAGACGCGAGCCAGGCCCCGGGCGA